CAAAATAAAAATTTACTATGACACAAAATTTAGTTTTATAAATATTTGTATTTTATTTGATTTTGGCCTCTGCTATAGTTTCTAATTTTTCCCCTTGTATTATCATGTTAGATCTTTTCAAAAGTATAAAAGAGTGGGTATTATTTTTATCATTTTAAAGCAACTGAGACTCAAGGAAGATGTAAGACATGGGACTAACTCCCAGAGGTCTTTAAAGGCCAGTTCTGGGGGTTAGCTTCTGTAGTATCAAAGCAATTGACATCTTTATGAAGGTTAACCCCTGTAGGAAGAATTTTTGACATGAACTATGAAAAGGTTCTTTTTAATGTTTCTATTGATTTTTAGAGAGAAAGGAAAGGAAAAGGATAGAGAGATAGAAGCATCCATGAGAGAGAAACAACATTCATCTGCTACCACCCACATGCCCCCTACTGGGGATCAAGCCGGCATGTGCCCTGACGGGGAATCAAACCATTGAGGCTCGACACTCAACCACTGAGCAACACTGGCTGGGCTGAAGAGGTCCTTTACCTCACTTACAACTTTAAACAATGTTTAAAATTTATACCTTCATTAATGCCTTACAGAACAAACTTAGGAAAGTTGTAGTTTTTGTTTTCCCCCAAAAGTAGATGAAAATTTAGTTAAAAAAGGTTATGAAACTTAAATTAAAACTATCTCAAAGTTAGTTGGAATCCTAGTTGAGAGGCATTTCTATTTTTTATGCCATCCTATCTACACTAATAAAAGACAAAGATGCTAATTGACCATACCTTTCCTATGCCCTAAGCCACACCCACCAGCCAATCAGAGTGACTATATGCAAATTAACCCAACCAAGATGGCAGCCGGCAGCCACGGAACTGGAGCAAGCAGGAGGCTTGGTTGCCTGGGTGATGGAGGAAGCCAAGCTTCCGGCCTGCCCTGAGCCGGCTGCAGCCTTGGCTCATGGCAACAAAGTTTCAATTATAGAAGACAAATAAGTCCCAGATACCTGCGTCCAGCCAGCCTCCACTGGGAGCTTGGGTGGCTGGGGGCCGTGGCCAGCCTGCAAACAGCCACCAGCCCCTCACCCAGGGTTTCAATTATAGAAGCTAAATAAATCCCAGATACCTGCTTCCAGCAAGCCTCCACTGGGAGCTTGGGTGGCTGGGGGCTATGGCCAGCCTGAAAATGGCCCTCAGCCCCTCCCCAGGCTGGCCAGGCACCCCATGGGGGACTCCCAACCTGAAGGGGCTGTGGCCAGCCTGCAAACAGCCATCAGCCCCTCACCTAGGCTGGCCAGGCACTCCTATATAATAAAAGGGTAATATGCAAATTGACCCTAACAGCAGGATGACTGGGAATGACTGGTCACTATGACACACACTGACCACCAGCGGGCAGATGCTCAATGCAGGAGCTGCCCCCTGGTGGTCAGTGTGCTCCCACAGGGGGAGCTCTGCTCAGCCATAAGCCAGGCTGATGGCTGCCAGTACAGCGGTGGTGGTGGGAGCCTCTCCCTCCTCCTCAGCAGCACTAAGGATGTCCGACTGCAGCTTAGGTCTGCTCCCCGCTGGCAAGTGGACATCCCCTGAGGGCTCCTGGGCTGCCAGAGGGATGTCTGACTGCCAGCTTAGGCCCAATCCCCCAGGGAGCAGGCCTAAGCCAGCAGGTGGTCATCCCCTGAGGGGTCCCAGACAGCAAGAGGGCACAGGCCGAGCTGAGGGACCCCCCGAAAGCACAAATTTTTGTGCACTGGGCCTCTAGTATATAATAAAACCGTAATATGCATATCGACTGAACAGCAGAACGACAGGTTGGTATGATGTGCACTGACCACCAGGGGCCAGATTCTCAACTCAGGATCGGTCCCCTGGTGGTCCGTGTGCTTCCACAGGGGGAGCACCGCTCAGCCAGAAGCCAGGCTCATGGCTGGTGAGCTCAGTGGCGGTGGTGGGAGCCTTTCCTGCCCCTGCTGCTGGTGGGTGGTAAGGAGCGAAGGGTCCTGCATTGCAAGAGCCCTGGACTGTGAGAGGGATGTCTGACTTCCAGCTTAGCCTCGATCCCTGGGGGTAGCAGGCTTAAGCCAGTAGGCGGACATCCCCTGAAGGGTCCTGGACTGCGAGAGGGTGCATGCTGAGCTCAGGGACCCTCCCCCAGTGCACGATTTTCATGCACTGGGCCTCTAGTAATTAGATAAAATAATGTGTTTCAAATAAGATTATAAGTATCAATGTCAGGGACTTTGTTTTTTTATTTTCTTACTAGAGGCCTGGGGCACAAAATTCATGCATGTGTAGGATCCCTAGGCCTGGCCAGTGATCAGGGCTGATCAGGGCCTTCCGGCTGCCAGCCAGGGCCTTCCTTCTTTCTGCACTACCCCATGGTGGTCAGCGCATGTCATAGTGAGTGATTGAACTCCCAGTCTCCCAGTCGAACTCCTGAGGGGACACTTTGCATATTAGCCTTTTAAATATATAGATCCTTCCCCCAAACTCTAGCATATGTCTCACATAATAGTTATCCCAGCTCTGTTCATTGCATCTCCTTAAGTATTTCCAAGTTCAGTTACTTCTGATTTAATACCAAAAAATAAGGCTTGCCCTTTGAACCTGAAAGTATTTCCCCTCCCAGTAGCCATGAATTTAAGAAACAGATAGTCTAAAATTAATTTTTATGTTGCTAGAAATTGGGAAACTCCTTTAAGTACATTTTGAGATGGAATCCCCACACACATTCATGACAACTTTTTCAAGAAGTAATTAGAGCCCTAGCCAGTTTGGCTAAGTGGATAGAGCTTCAGACTGCAGACTGAGGGTCCCAGGTTTGATTCCAATCAAGGGCATATGACTGGGTTGTGGGCTCAATCCCCAGTAGGGGGTGTGCAGGAGGCAGCCAATCAATGATTCTCTCTCATCATTGATTTTCTATCTCTCTCTCTCTCTCTCCATACCTCTCTGAAATAAATAAAAAATATATTTTAAAAAAGGAGTAATTAGAAATAATGAATAGTATGGCACCCACCTTTATTATCAATAAATTTTATACAAAATAAAACATGGTATTTTCCAGGACACTCTAAATGGCAATCTGAAACTAAATCTAAATTTCTGATAATATAATCACCTTTAATGCATGATCATAGGTTTAGTAAAATATCTATCATAGAAGAGATGTTAAACTGTAGGGTTTCTCATTTTACAATATTAAAAAATTTTTCAGACTTCTTGGTCATGTACACTGAATTTTCATTACACAGGTTGCTTTAATATCAAAATAACTATTCTATAACCATACTCAATAACCAAAATTCTATTGCATACATTTTTTTCTGCCATATTCATATCTATTGTTAAATAGAGAGAAGTGAAATTTCCAAGAAACCTCTAATAGGATTTGGGACTCAGATCCTTCTTTTGCGAAAGTCAACATTCCTGAGCAACTTATCAGTTACTGCTCTATTTTTTCTTTAACAAATAGCCCAAACAAAACAAACACCTAACCACCAAAAATTTAATGACTGAACTTAAATTAACACTAAGATACTTTTTAAGGAAAAAAGATATTCCAGAGGGAGGTATAAAGTGTGGGAGAGATGGTGGGATCCATGAACTGGCTATATATGAGAGAGCTTCATGCCTCTAGTGCCTGCCACTGAGTTACAGCTTTCCACCATATTCACCATGAGGGAGAATCCTCAGTTAGAGAAAGCCATCTACCTATATTAAGGAAATTCCTACCCTTTGCAGACCAGGCCCTGAAAATTGGACTGTGAGGGGTCTGCGATGCCTCTGGCTACCTGAGCTGCCTTTTCAACACAACCGCCAGGGCTACTGAGACACATAGGCTAGTGCACCTGATATAGTGCACATCAATTGTGATAGGAATTGGAGAGTGTTTCCTAGAGTTATACTGGAGCTCCTAAAGAAAGCAATCGGGGACATTGAGCTTTACCATTCTTCCCTAATTTTCCAACTTTACTTTCTAATTTCTCAGCAAAAATCAAAACCAAAATACTCTTTTTTTAAAAATTCAAATTATACATTTTGGATTAAATCAGAATAGAGGGATATTTATAACTTGGTTATAAAAAATCTCATGCCCTCTTGAAATAGACATGTTTTGGATAATAAGCATTTCTTATAGTGCCCATTTGAACAAAATTACATGACAATAGGAGCATATTCTCCTACCAACTAATTCATGCTTTGTGTATTTCAGCTATTGACAGCAAGAAGATGAGGAATCTTCTCAATAGCCGTAAGCTCCAAACCCCACAATTAACTGTCTCTTTCATAGTAAAGATAATGAATAAAAGCCATAAAAAGTTAGTAAAATTTGGTAAGGTTGTTTTTTTTTCCCATTGAGGTATAATTAACATAACATCATATTAGTTTCAGGTGGACAATGTAATGATTTGATATTCATATATATTGCAAAATAATCATTACAATAATAGCAAGCATTTTGTTCATTTTATGTTTTTATAAACTGAACACTTAGCTTTTTATTATTGTTTATTATTCTTAAGATATTTAAGTTTATAAATTTACATCAAATACAATTTTAAATGTTGTGACTTACAGAATATAATTTTAAAAATTACATGGTATTTTTTATATTATAACATATGTAACTATAATTCTAACATTCTATTTTAATATTTTATTTAAATGATTATTTTTTAAAATACTATCCCAGTTCAGAGAGTGCTTTAAAGTTGTAATTAGTTAGGCTTCTTCCTGTTAAAAGTTCTCTGTTTTCTTGCATTTTTGTTGAAATATCTGCTATGGACATTTTTTTTTTGCCCGCCCCCGCCCCCCCATCAAATACGTCCATTAAAAATGTTGTAAGGACACTAAAAAATGATGAACATTCCCTATATAACTTGCAACATTTAACATATTTCCAAATATTATCAATATTCATATATTTGTTCTCATTCATGTTTTCTGGCTTTTGGTAAATATTTTTCTTCCATTGTGTTTTGTCTTTTTCTCTAAACACATGTTGATTTCTTCTAGCTAGCCTTTATGTTTTTTAAATATATTAACCTTTATTTCTTGATCAAATATCAAACTCAAGGATAAAGCAAGAACTATGCATAATGAAAAAATTATAAGCTAAATTTCTCTCATCAACTTCAATTGACTTTCCAGTCTTTGATGAGTAACTTTCTATTTTTCTTATCACTTAATCTTTAAATGTTTGATCAATATCATTTTTAAAACATTATATTCCATTTTATATCCATGGTTAAAATTATTTACCAATCCCTAAAGTTTCCTATTATATTTTACTATTTCCCATTCTTGAGTCTTGACTTAGAGTTACCTTTTTGCCTGCTAAACTGTATTTCAAGTCATTTTAAGCAAGAAAATTATCCAAATGGTATATTTTCTGAGTACTTGCATATGTAAGAATTTCTTTCCATTTCCTTTATCTCTATGTTTTATAAGATAATTGGGTCATAAACTTTCCCAAATAATTCAATACAGAATATTCTGTTCCTTCTAGTGTTTTTGCTGTAGAATAGAAATCTAAGATGGATGTGATTTTTGTTATGAAGGTTTTTTGTTTCTGGATGAATGTAGGAAATCCTTATCATATAACTTGTTTGCCAAGAGATCTAGTTGTGGTTGTATTTTTCACTGAATTTTGAGTAGGACACAAAGAGTATTTTCAATATGCACACTATTTTTTTCTTGTTCTAGAAAAACAAGATAATAAATTATCTTATCATGATAATTTATTATTGACTAGAGGCCCAGTGCATGAGATTAATGCACTGTGGGGGGGGGGAGCGAGGGTGGGGTGGGATCCCTCAGCCTGGCCGGGCTCTCGAAGTCCGGAACCCTTGCTCCTTACCGCCTGCCTGCAACGGAGGCGGGGAGGCTCCCGCTACCACTGCTGCGCTTGCCAGCCGTGAGGCCAGCTTCAGAGAGGAAGGGAAAGTGAGAGAGAGATAGAAACATCAGTGATGAGAGAGAATCATTGCTTGGCTATCTCTTGCATGCCCCACACTGGGTATTGAGCCCGCAACCCAGGCAGGCATGTGCCCTGATCAGGAATCAAACATGGACCTCCTGGTTCATAGGTCGATGCTCAACCACTGAGCCACTCCAGCTGGGTGCATTCTTTTTTTAAACTATGTTTTTATTGATTTTAGAGATAGGAAATGAGAGGGATAAAGAGAGAAATATCAATGATAAGGGAGGATCATCTATCAGCTGCCTTCCACACACACCCTACTGGGGGTCATGCCCACAACCTGGGTCTGTACCCTGACCAGGAATCAAACTGTGACCTCCTAGTTCATGGGTCAATGCTCAACCACTGAGCTACACCAGCAGGCAAAACTTGTATTCTTAATACAAATAGAAATAATAGAAAAGTACATTAAAAATTACACTAATATACTTTTGAAACTTAAGGTTGGTTTGAAGTCTAATCCAGTGGTCGGCAAACTCATTAGTCAACAGAGCCAAATATCAACAGTACAATGATTGAAATTTCTTTTGAGAGCCAAATTTTTTAAACTTAAACTATATAGGTAGGTACATTGTTATTAACTTAATTAGGGTACTCCTAAGCTGGCCTTTGCTAGAAACGTCCTCAATCTGAGGGGTCGACCTCAACAAACGTACCCCCACTTCTTCTAATGCCACTTCTTCAAAATAGACTGACCCAGGCCGAAAACCGACTCCTGTGCATGGGCCACGAAGTTTTAATCGCACTGTCTGTGAGCGCCCACACATGGTATTTTGTGGAAGAGCCACACTCAAGGGGTCAAAGAGCCGCATGTGGCTCATGAGCTGCGGTTTGCCGACCACTGGTCTAATCAATTGAGGGTTTGTTATCAAAGAATCAAAAAAATTTTAAGAAAAATAACTAGAACCAAAGATGAGAGCATAAATAAACAAAGTCTAAAAAAACAAAATAAAAAAAAGATGAATGAAACCAAGAGCTTGTTCTTTGCAATGATTGACAAGATTGACAAACCTTTAGCCAGATTCATCAAGAGAAAAAGAGAAAGAACCCAAATAAATAAAATAAAAAATGAAAGAGGAAAAGTAACAACTAGCATCAAAGAAATACAAGGGATTGTAAGAAAACACTGTGAAGAACTATATGGCAACAAATTGGACAATCTGGATAAAATAGATAAATTCCTAGAAACATACAATCTTCCAAAACTGAATCAGGAAGAATCAGAAATTCTGAATAGATCAATTACAACTAGTGAAATCGAAACAGTAATTAGAAGAAACAAACTACTAACAAACAAAAGCTCTGAACCAGATATAGTTTCACAGGTGAATTTTACCAAACATTCAAAGAAGAACTAATACCTATCCTTCTCAAACTATTTCAAAAAATTTCAGAGGAGGGAAGACTTCCAAGCTCATTTTACAAAGCCAGCATATTTGAAATTATTCTAATTTCAAAATCAGATAAATACACTACAAAAAAGAAAATTATAGGCCAATATCCTTGATGAACACAGATGCTAAAATCCTCAACAAAATATTATCAAACTGATATACAGGAATACATGTAAAAGATCATACATCATGATCAAGTGGGAATGAAAGGTTGGTACAATATCTTCAAATCAAAAACATGATACACCACATAAACAAAATGAAGGATTAAAAAACTCATGATCATTTCAATGGATACAGAAAACATTTATGATACAAACTCTCAGCAAAGAGGGAATAGAGGGACTATACCTCCACATAATAAAGGCCAAATATGACAAACCCACAGACAACATCATATTTAATGGGCAAAACTTACAAGTATTTTCCTTAAAATTGGGAACAAGACAGGGATGTTTGCTTTCACCATCTTATTCAACATAGCACTGGAAGTCCAAGCCACAGCATCAAATTCAAAAGTTTTTGCACAGCAAAGGAAACTATCAACAAAATGAAAAGACAACGCACTCAATGGGAGAACACATTTGCCAAAGATACATCTGATAAGGGATTACTATCCAAAATTTATAAAGAACTTATAAAACTCAATAAAGACACACACAGTCCAGTTAAAAAATGGACATAGGACCTGAATAGACACTTTTCCAATGAGGACATACAGATAGCCAACAGACATATTAAAAGATGCTTAATGTCACTAGTCATTAGAGAAATGCAAATTAAAACCACAATGAGATATCACGTCACACCTGTCAGAATGGCTGTCATAAATAAATCAACAAACAACAAGTGTTGGTGAGGGCGTAGAGAAAAGGGAACTCTCGTGCACTTTGGTGGAAATGCAGATTGGTGCAGCCACTGTGGCAAAGAGTATGGAGTTACATCAAAAAAATAAAAAATGGAGCTGCCTTATGACCCACGAATTCCACTTCTGGGAATATATCTGAAGAAACCCAAACACTAATTTGAAGGAATATATGCACCCCTATGTTCTCTGCAGTGCTATTTACAATATGCAAGGTTTGGAAGCAACCCAAGTGTCCACCAGTAGATGATAGATAAAAATGCTATGGTACATTTACACTATGGTATACTATGCAGCTATAAAAAAACAAGGAAATCTTAATCTTTCTAACAGCTTGGTTGGAGAGCATGATGCTAAGTAAAATCAGCCAGTCAGAGAAAGCAAAAACCATATGAGTTTGCTCATATTTAGAATCTAATCAACAAAAAAACTAACAAACCAAAGAGAAATAGACCCATAAATAGAAAAAAGACTGACAGCTGTTAGAGGGGGGAGGGGTTACAGGGTTGGGTGAAAAAGATGAAGGGATTAAGAAAAAAAAAAAAAAAAAAATACACAAACTCATAGGCACAGACAAGAGCATGGTGATTACCAGAGGGGAGAGGGATTGGAGGGAGATAGAAGAGGATAAAGGGGAGTAAGTGGTGATGAAAGAAGGAACTTGACTTGATGTGGTAAACACATACTACAATATATAGATGGTGTATTATAGAATTGTATACCTGAAAGCTATATAATTTTATCAACCAATGTCTCCCCAATAAATTCAATTAAAAAGAGAAAAGAAAAAGGACAAGAACCATATTAGTTCACTCATATGTGGAGTGTAATAAAACAGAAAGCCACAAATTAACAACCTAAACAAACAAATTCATAGACACAGACAATAGAAAGGCAGTTATCAGGAAAAGGCGGTGGGGGTGGGTGAACAGGATAAAGAGGGTCATATTTATGGTGACAAAAGGGGACTAGACTTTGGGTGGTGAGCACACAATGCAATATCCAGATGTATTCTAGAATTGTACACTTGGAACTTATATGATGTTATTAACCAATGTTACCCCAATAAACTTAATTTAAAAAGTAGCCTTTCAATTTTTAGAAAATGACAAAAAGGCATTATTGTTTAAATTCTGGGTTTTGCAAAGACAACTTATAGATTCATGTTAAGAGAAAATCATGACTTATATTATTGGCCTCTCAGGAGAAAAATACAAACTTTACTGTGGATCCTCCTTGACTTTATATATAATGATCACTTATCAGTTGGATGAATTCCAGCAATTTATGTTCTTTCTCAAGGCTGAGTTTTCTCATCAGAAAAGTGTTCTTGTTGTAAATGTATCTAAAACACTTAGGAGAGGATCTATACATTCTTTTTTTACTTTTTTATTGAATTTAGTGCAGTGGTTCTCAACCTTTAGGCCCTTTACAGTTCCTCATGTTGTGACCCAATCATAAAATTATTTTCATTGCTACTTCATAACTGTAATGTTGCTACTGTTATGAATCGTAATGTAAATATCTGATATGGTCTTAGGCGACCCCTGTGAAAGGGTCGTTCGACCGCCAAAGGGGTCGTGACCCACAGGTTGAGAACCACTGGGTTAATAAAATTACTTATATTGTATTTTTGATGCTCAATAAATTATCTACCTATTTATTTATCTATACTAGTATATGCTTTATATAGAGAGACAGAAGTTGACCCTGGATTGGATGCCTTGAAATATTAGTAAATATTTCCTTTGAACCTCAGTAAGATCAGTAGAACCCCTACCAAGAACCTCAGAGACTGAGTGCTAGGAATGGGTTAGAGTGGCAGGTGCAATGGCTTGTCTAAGCATCAGCACCCAATGCAAGTCAGGATATGTTTCCCCCCACTCCTTTTCATGAAAACTAGTTAATGTATATTTCTGTGACAGGCTGTGGAATAAGGATGACATCTTCAAACATGCCATTACCAGCATATACTTCTACAGAAAGGATTGTCCAAGGAAGGGAAACAGCTATGGAAGGGGAATGGCCGTGGCAGGCCAGCCTCCAGCTCAAAGGGGCAGGCCATCAGTGTGGAGCCAGCCTCATCAGTAACACGTGGCTGCTCACAGCTGCTCACTGCTTCCGCAAGTAAGTTCCCAGGACTGTTGTGAGTCTCCTTTACTTAGTTACCAGTTGTCATCAATGGATTCAGTACTTGGGAAGAGTCTAATCTCACCAGTTTATTTTATGCTCCATTATGGATGGACCCTCCTCTGTCCCCTAAAATGCATGATGCTTGCTCTATGCCCTGATTATGTTCATCTCTCCCTGCTCTAAATAATTATGCTGTTTGGTTTATATCACTCTTGTGGTTCTCACCATGTATTTTCCTGTATTATCATGACATTAGTATTATCTTTTCTACGATATCATAAATTATTTTAGTGTAAAGATCCGTTATTTTACATGTAACTAGAGGCCCGATGCACAAAAATTTGTGCACTCGGGGGGGTCCTTCAGCCCAGCCTGTGCCCTCTCGCAGTCTGAGACCCCTCGGGGAATGACCACCTGCTGGCTTAGGCCCGCTCCCTGGGGGATCAGGCCAAAGCTGGCAGTCAGACATCCCTCTGGCAACCCTGGAGCCCTCAGGGGATGTCCACTTGCCAGCGGGGAGCAGG